GCCCCAGCCCCCCCAACACTGCTAGTAGCACAGTCATTCAAGGAGAGAGAAAGACTTGGGTTCTGGTTCCTGCTCCCAAGACTGCTTCTGTAAGGGTGCTGCTAACAGACACCCTTCTCCTCCCCTATTGAGCACTAACACAATGGAGGCACTGGCATAGCTAAGGGGTTGATGTGCAAATCATTCTTGCTGTAGAAAATGATTTAATGGCTCCCAAAATAGGCTTCTATTCAGCATTGGCAATGTGTAGAGGGTGCATGCAGGTGCACATACACCTCCTGAGTTTGGCAGTGCATCCCCTGCAAAAAGTGCCCTCAACGCTGCTGGCGGTACCTGCAGGCAGTTGCTGCTTGCCACCCCCCACCCACCCCCTGCCATCACCACTAGCAGTGTCTGTGGGTGGTCCCCGATTGTCGCTGGGCATCGCTGGTGCTGTCTGCAGGTGGTCACCACCCTACCCCCCCCACCACCGACACGGCCATGGCCGCCTGCAGGAGCTTCTCGCTCGGCCTGCCTCTGCTGCCGACACCACCCACAGATGGTTGCCATGCCCCCCCAGCCTCCAGGGGCATACAGCATTCTTGCTACTCAGCATTAACATTTGGAAAGGTGGAGAATAAATGAGGGATGTTTTGCAAGACTGTTAGTGTGATAGGAGGACACAGGTAAATCTCTGCCCTGGAGAAGATTAGTATGTTTTCTTCTTTCCATTTTAAAAAAATGAGACGTCTTTTTTTCCTGTTAATGATATTACACTAAATACACATGGCATCCTTTTAAATCATTGAAAACTATCATAATAGACAAGTGTTTCAATAAATATACAACCTGCTAGAACACTACTCACTCTCCATAATTGCTTGCCATCTTCTAAATCTGTGTATCCTGTTAAGTACCTCTTTGCTTTGCAAATGCATGATCTGTATTGGATATCACCTGCTTCATAGATGACCTGCAAGAAGGAAATTCAGGTTATTCAGCAATAAGTCACATAAATACACAAGCCTATTA